CTTCTCAAAATCCCTTTTCGGCCTTTTAAGAAAAACTTATTTCTAACCTTTTCAACTTGTCAATCAGGATTCAAAGGAAGTTCTTCAAATCTACTTTACTTTAGAAAAAAGTTTTAAACCAATCAATCTTACACTCATTCTAACCTTTAATCCAAAAACGATAATTACACTACCACCTGTCAACTTACTATAATCCATATAACATCAATTATACGTACCAACACCTATCATAAAGACAGACAATATTATCCAATTCATAATGGAATTATCCCAACCGCACACTTTAAACCTACCACACAAATCTACTATGTCACAACTATGTCTGCTTCATCTGGTCTACTAATCCTAGTCTGCTCTGTTAGCTGCTCTGTTATTCTGTCTTGTTCATTCTGGTAGAAGCTAGTATATTCAAGTCCCATGCAGAACAGGAGAATGTATTCAGTGGTTTGGTTGTTATCTGGATGTCTTGTTTTTTTATTGTTCTCTGGCTTCTTTGTTCTCAAAGGTTTTTGGGCTATCTAATCTGGTTTTATCTGTGATTGCTGTGTCATTGCTGTGTGAATGATCAGAGATGATGCTAATTGATAATGTTAATCCCTGCAGTATTCATTATGGTGTTTGAACAGAGGTGATGCTAGAAGCTTTTTCCAGCTCCATAGCTGTCTTCGGGGTTCGTTCTGTTGTTTTTTTTTTCTCTATTTGTTGGTTTCTCACCAACTAGGAGGTTGGAGCTTGTTCCAACTCCAAGCTCCTCTTTATTGATGTCTTCCATTGTACTTTGTACGTGCATCACCAAAAAAGTTTTCTTTGCCGATCAAAAAAATAAAATAAAAAATGTAGCCAAACAACAAATATAACATAATTAACAACCGGCGTTGTCAAGCAAATCCAACACAGTTTACCGGGCACTAACCGAAATGAAAGTTGGTACCTCTCTCAAAGCGCTATGCTTTACTAGTGGCTAGCCGAAAGGAATGCAAAACCTCTATAAAACCCAATAGTCTACATGTTTTACCTAGCACTACTCCAGAAGGAAGATGGAACCTCTATCAAGAGCCACACTTTATTGAACAAAAGCTGGAAGGAAACACACTCTGTTTTCAATATTTTAATCCATGAATTCCTCATATCATTCATCATTTCAATTTTATAGAATTATAGCAACAACATACTACACATACAACTTTTTCTACAATCAACCAATACCTTCCCCCACCGATGGCCAATGACAAAAACTTAATAATAATAATAATAATAATAATAATAATAATAATATAAATTCATTTCAGTAAAGGAATATGATTATTTACAACATTTCGTTACTTCAATATCAACTCCCTTTTCTTCAAGTTACATCAACACATTTAATATCATGAGTTTCTCATAGTTTATGATGCCAATTCTAATTACCAATTTCCAAGATACAACCTAATTTTCACCATAGTTATTCCCTCAAAAAATAGCAATCAAGATTTGTCCCCAATTCTTTTAAATATCAACCCAATTTCATGATTTAATGCCCAATTGAAACAAATTTCTTCTTTAGACTTCCATAATCTACTACAAACCAAAAGTTTAACTTCTTTATTTCAAAACCCGAACTTTCCGATATATGGTTTTCAAGAAAATCTCTTACGATAGAATGTTTTATGCAATAAAAAAATATCACACATCTATCTGCACAAGAGTATTGAGGAGAAGTAAAGAAATCCCTACCTCAAGCAAGAAGAAAAGAAAGCTCAAAAATCCAACTTCGACGAAAACACGATCCACTCAGATTAAAGGAAAACACTCATCGTGCTCTACATTTTGGCATAAGGAACTAGGGTGAGATTTTTAGTAGATGTAGATGAAATCCAAGCTTAAAAGCTTAGGATTTTCAGAATTGGAAGAAAAAGAGAGAAGAGAGAGTGAAAATAAGATAGATTTGACCCAGAAGTGACTTTTTAAAGATCAGATCCTAAACAGACTGCTCGAGTGGTCAAATCTGCACTCGAGTAGTGAATGAAATCTCTCAATATCTATACTTTCTCGAAGAGACCGCTCAAGTAGTCAAAAGTGATCTTGAGCAGTGAATTAAGGCTTGCAATAACTCAAATAATTTTGAAAAATAGAGCTGGAAGGGTCTATGGATCACTCGATCGGTGAAACTTATGCTCGAGCGAACTATGCATACAACTTGCAAACTTGAAACATGTATAACTCTCTAGTCCGGATTCTGTTTAGGGTCATTCTTGTATCTAAATTGAAGCTCCGGAAATAAGCTTTCAGTGGTTCTAACCTTACATCAAGATTCAAAGTGTAGAGAGAGAAAATGATAAAAGAGTGAAAACTACTTAAAAATAACTATTTGAATTTGGAGGTTTTGATCCAATCTCGCCCAATTATTATGGTAACGCCTCATCCAAGTCTCAAATATCGTCTAAGAAGGTTCTCAATTATGATAATCAAAGAGTTAAATATAATTTCATTATACCAAGAAGTATTAAAGACTAAATTGATTTGAATTTAATAGTTTAGAGACATAATTGGCAAGATCAAAACTTTAGGAACTTAAACGAATAAAGTGTTAAACTTTAGCTACTATAATTATAGTTTACCCTAAAAATAATTGCCTATTGGCAACATAACTTATCCACAACTAAATAGTTTAGTAACTAAAAATAAAAAATTATGTGGTTTTTAAATATATATATATATATATATGCTTTAGCTACTAAATTACTTTTTTTTTGATCAGCAAAGAAAAATTTCATTAAAAACATGAAATTAAAGGTACAGGAAGATGAAATGCACTGAGAGAGTTTCGGAAAGTATAAAATACCCCTACTACTGCTACTCGCAACCATACAACCAACCCCTCGGCCTCACGATTTTTTTTTTTCAAACAATAAAAAAAAGTTAAGAAGAACTTAACAGAATATAAAATACATGATTTCCCACAAAATCAACCCACCAAAATCAAACCACAAAATCAAGCTAGTAACCCAAATATTTTAAATGCCAACTACACTCCCACAGCCCACAGTACCCAAGACCCACGCCACCCACGCCTACTCTACAGCTCACGCCCATGCCTACTCTGCAGCCAACCACCCACCTGAACACCTAAGCTGCTGTGCTGCTGCACGTCCGAGGCCACACCACCGAAAAACACTGTAGCCAACAGGTCACGGCTCCAAATACCACCGGAAAAACACCATCAACCAACAGCCCACAGCTCCAAACACCATTGCAACTCCAAACTCCATTGTAACTCCAAACTCCAACCTCCAAACTCCGAAGACAGATTAACACCCAACCTCCAAACTCCAACCTCCACACTTGCTGCCGAACAAGATGCCAAACTCCAAACACCACCGGAAAACACCATAAACCAACAGCCCACAGCTCCAAACACCATTGCAACTCCAAACTCCAACCTCCAAACTCTGAAGACAGATTAACACCCAACCTCCAAACTCCAAACTCCAACCTCCACACTTGCTGCTGAAGACACCCACACCCACACCCACTGCAGCTCCACACAGAACAACACCCGAAGACAGATCAACACCCACACCCACTACAGCTCCACACACCAACCAAAACACCGACCAACCGCTGGGACACCACCATACATTAGAAGAAGATCACCCCTCGAACTCTCACCCAAAGAGGAGCGCACGAATGAAACCCAGACAGATCTGGATCGACTTCGACATCCATGTTTCCGTCCAAACAAAGCATCGAAACTTCTCCACCAACCTGAACCAGAGTTCACCCCTCAAGCTCCTACTAAATTACTTGGCGCCAAATACTTTTGAGAACAAACTTTAGGCAACTAAAACGGCGACAAATTGTTTTAGTCGGCAAAAGTTTTTTGGCTACTAAAATAAAAGCTTTAGCAATTAAAACTTTAGTCACCAAACGTGACATTTCTTATAGTGAGTAAATGTTATAAATACTAATTAGTACATTAACATATATCTATTAACTAGACACAGTATTAAGTTAGTCTCATGTCAAGTAATGAATCCCACATGTATATATTGTCTTAATTAATATGCTTATTAGTACATATATTTTTTTTTCCCCTAAAGTTATATTAACCAATTAAACATTGGGGGAAAAAAAAAGGGCGCGGAAGTTGAGTGAAACAGTTATACTAGAAAAAGTTTGTAACATGGTAACATCAATCATAATCTCTCATGTATGTGTAATTGATCACATTATTTATCTGAGTCAATTAGTGGGATGAGTTGAATAAAATAATAACTTTTAGATAGTGGGGTTCAGACTTTTCTAAGTATTATTTTGTTATTGGATGATAATATCATGTATCAACAATACACCATTAATGGATTCCACATGTATGTATTGTATCTTAATTGATTTGTTTATTTCCATTTATTAATTAACATGCAGCAAAAAGTAAGGCGAGAGTTTGATGTGTAACCAATTAGTTAATATCTCGACCGAGCACAAACTAACATGGGTGTGACTGATCAGTCAACTCCAAAGGATTAGCTTAGTAGGTGTAACTTGGGGCCTGGGGTGTATTCCTTCTAGGTCTCAGGTTCAATTATCACTAGATGCTATTAATTCTTTAGAGTCACATCTATGAATTTTGCTTGAGAATTGCCTGATCTATATGGAGGGGTTGTTTTGCATATATCCCACAATTAGTCGATATGTGCATAAACTGATCTGAACATCTAGTCATTAAAAATAAAAAAACTTGGTTACAACTTTCATTTACATGTTAATTAATTAGTGAAACCTATACCAGGTTATACTTTCTCCTTGTACATGCATATTGATTGCCATTTTATCTAGTATGACAATCACTACTATCAATGGGTGGTGAAATTATATGTGTGGAATGCAGACAACAATTACATAGGGATTTTTTTTTTGGTCCCCACCATAGGATTTCCACTGCAGAATAACATTCATGTTGAGTTGTGTCCAAGTATATATTATAAGGACCACAACAAATCATGAATACACAATGACGATAACAGATAAAAAGTTCATTTTTCACACAATGGACTCTTGTTCTTCCAAACTTTGCAAGAAAACAATCAGAGACACTGATGTACATACACTGACTGGACTAAAAAGCAGAGGTAATATGTTTTCATGAAACATACACATCTGCACTGTGCCCGAAAACAACAACTACCCAACAATTTGTTACATCTTACCTAAAATCCAACCAGGCATGCCCATATAGGCAATCAGATCATGTGTCACTTTACATCTATATGATTCACAACCCACCAGTCTGATTGTGGCACAGAAGTAAATTTGCATGCATCAGTGCTAATTTATGGCATGTAATTACAAATTTACGATTCATTTGTTTTGGAAAAATAATAATAAAAAAAAAACACTCGGATTTAGCTATGGTGGTATCTTGTGTACAATATTACCAGTTTTCCTTTCTCGGACCATGACTGGTAGGCCACCGTTGAGAGTGGCGGTGAGGCCGGGAGAGAACCGGAGTGACGTGCATGGTACAGCTAGCTTGATGTGGAACCCCCGCAGCAACGAAAGCGCAACACTTTTCAGCTTCACCAGTGCCATTTCTTTGCCCAAACAGACCCTAAGTCCGGCTTGAAAAACCGGGTACTTAAAAGGGTTCTCTTGAAAGAATACACCATCTTTCAACCACCTTTCTGGCTTGAATTCTAAGCAGTCTGGACCCCAAATCTCTTCCATTCGCCCCATGGCATAGGGATGATAGGTCACCCTTGTTCCTCTCTTCACAACTGTTCCATCGGGTAAAACATCGTCTTCTAAACAAAACTTGGAATCAAATTGAATTGGTGGGTATAGCCTCATACTCTCATAGATTGTTGCTTGCAAATAATGAAGTTCTCGCATTTGTTCCAAGCTTGTGAGATCTTGGTTAGGCCCAATGACTCGATCAGCCTCAGATAGAACTGCGGACTCTACCTCTGGGTGGTTTGCCAGCAACCAGAAAAGGCTAGTCAAGGCCGATGCAATCGTGTCACGCCCGGCTAAGAGAAAGCTTATGACTATGTCTCTCAAATATGTTTCATCGTTTATCGAAGCCATGAATCGAGAAAGAAGATCTTTATGAGTTGAAAAACCCATTTTTCGCCTCTGTCGAATGACTTCTTGGGCTAGAGCGTTGATCATCTTGATGGCTTCTTTTAGTTCCTTCTCAGAACCTAAATTCAATACCCTTTTGATCTTCCAAACCCATGGTGAAGCAGTCATAGCTCTCTGAGCTGATAACTTAGAAGCTAGGTCAAACGACACAGCAAGTTGTGACATGGGAAGAGACAATTCCAGGCACTTTGGGTCCAACCCAAATGAAAATCTGCAAATACTATCAAATGAGAATCTCCGAAACACGTCTTGCAAATCCAAAATACCTTCTTCATTTCCCTCAGCGACAACAGACGATAAAAGCGGTATAAGGCGATTTTCAATCTCATTATTGACAACTTCAAAAGCATACAATCGCATTGAAGTTTTTCCGAGCTCTAGACTTGCCACTTTCCTCTGAAACATCCATAGCTCGCCGTCCACGTTGAAAATACCCTTACCCAGAAGATCACCCAAGATTGCAGAGAAGGGTTTTCCTTTTGGGTAGTTTTCAAATCTTGTTTTCAGCATGTACTCAACGTTGTCAGGGTTAGAAGTGATCGTGTTACCAAGCACATGTATGTGGATAGTTTTATTGGGAGAGTTTCTGAGGAGATGAGTATACCAATCACAGAGATTATCAAACTGGAGGGACCAACTTGAGGTGATATATGCTTGGCAAACTTCACAATTGCACCAAAATTGTCTTCTCTGTAAGTAGAGCAAGAGTGTGAAGAGAGAGATGATGATGATGAGAGAGAAGATAAGGAACCAGAAGGAGGCATGAAGCGATTGTAACCATCTGGAAGCTTCAGACTCCATGGATGAATGATGGAATAAAGAAAAAACGATGAGGAAGAGAGAAGAGACCAATGGGAGAAAGAGATAAAGGATTTGTTATGTTTTATATTGTGAGAACAGTCCATGACTATTATATGTATAAAGTTTATATTGAAGTGCTAGTATATGTTTTCATATTCTTATAATTTCCCATACAATTTTTATACAAATTTCCTGACCACAATAATACGGTAGGAATATTTTTGAAGATATAAATTAATTTGATGAGTCATTTGTTATAAAGTGATAAAACAAAAATTAGTTACATTATTTTGTATTAATTTTTATATAATTTGTATTTGTATTATCACTACTCATATTATAAGTAGCTGACAATCTCCCTAACTCAACTAGGACTATAAAGCTTATGACATTTGTTGATTGACTTCACACAATGTTGATAACATCAAAAGAAATGTGAAATTTATCAAATAATGTGTTTAGGCCTTGTTTGAGAATATGTTTTTTTAGTAATTTTTTAGTTTTTTAGCTAAAATATGATGTAAAAAAAAACTAACCAGCATGCTTGGTTAGAGTTTTTCAAAAACTCTTTTCAAAAAATTTTACTTTTTTGTTTTCCGTGTTTTTTTATTTTTACTGAATTTTTTTAATATTTTAAGAATTTTTTTTACTTTTTAGACATACCCAACATAAATATACCTAAAAAGTAAAAAAAATTGTAAAAGAAACCTTTTAAAAATTCAATAAATACCAAAAATACAAAAAAAAAATGAGAATTCCGTACATATTTTGTATTTTTATGTATTTATTAATTTTTTAAAATATGTTTTTTTACAAATTTTTTTCTTTTTAAATACATCTAAATCAGGTGCATTTAAAAAAATAAAAAATATATTTAAAATCTTCACTAAAAACAAAAAAACATGAAAATCAAAAAACTCAATTTTCAAAATACTTAATCAAAAAACTCAAACCAAACATATGTTTGGGATGACTTTTTGGCTATTTACAAAAAGTTGTGCAAAAAGTAGAGAGAAAATAGAATCTTTGATTTTTTGGTATGAGTTGTTAGCTTTTTGATTTTTTTTAATAACTTTTTAGCTTTTTGGCTAAAAGAGGCACTTGCCAAACGAGCCTTTAGTATCATGTAAGTCATATAATATACATAAATATATATTATAAAACATGTCTAATTATATTGGTGATCTTTACATTTTATCCATTGTATCATTTTGTCCTTATACTTTCAATTGACTCAATTTTGACCATTAATTTTAGATTCTGTGTCAATTTCGTCCAATTGATAATGTCATTAGTGTTTTTAACAAGAAATAATTACTGAATTGATTGAGGTTAACTCCTTAAGTTAAGTAAATTTATAATTTTACTTTTAAAAGTATAGCATATGCTACTTATATGCGTATTTTTCATATAAAAAAAAATGCTAAGAGTTAATATTAACTCAATCAAATTTTAGATAAAATCATAAATTTAATATCAAAATCGAACCAATTAAAATTACTGAGACTAAAATGACAAAAAAACTAAAGTAAATGAACTACTGTCATATTTTGCGCTATAAAAAAATGAGTACACTTTATGTTGAGAATATAAAAAAGGAAAAATTACTTTTCAATGGTTTCTTTAAAAAATAATTACAAATAAATGATAAATTTATAAATATTAATAATTAAAAATATAAACTTTTTCATGAATATGTAATAAGTTTTTGAAAGTGTCACTGATTTATAATTTTTTCCATAAATAATATAATTATTATTTTTATAAATAATTTAAATTTTTAGATCAGTTTGTAATTCAAAATTCAACATGGATAAATCGTATGTTCAATATTTACTGTCTATAAGCCCTTTTTCTTTTTATTTTGTTAATTAGTGAGAGAGTAATTATAAATATAAAAAATATTAAATCAAATTAAACAATTAAAGTCTAACAGTAGGTCACTAAGCCCAACAACCATCTCTAGTTCAAAGTAACGAATAAATAAATTACTATATACCATCCTCATATTGGAAAAATAAATAAATATGACAAAATGTGTCAAACTCCTCCGCATAAAAGTGGAGTCCACAACTTCAAATCAGAATGTGGTGCTACAAAGCTACTAAGCTAAAGGTCTAGTTAAATCAAATAACCATCAAAATCTAATCATTATAATTTTTTGTGTGAACAATTTAGCCTCTGTTTGGGAAGTGGGTTGGCTTTTTGGCTTTTTAGCTTTTTTAGCTATTTTAGTCTGGGCTAAAAAGCTTGGTTTTGGAAGGACTTTTTGGTTTTTTGACTTTTTTGACTTTTTTTGTGACAGAAGAATGTAATGATTATAGGTTGGATGTGATGTTTTGTTTGTTATGGCTAAAATAACCTATTTTGTTTTTTGTGGCTAAAATAGCCAAAAAAAACCTGGAAAAGTTCTCGCCAAACACAGGCTTACTATGATTGTTGGGTTTGTTGGTTTCTTTGTGATGATTGCTGGGTTGGGCAAAGTGGTTTATGTACGGTGATTGTTGAGCTTGTAGATATACTATGCGTTGTTGGAATATAATTATTTAGTTTAATGTGATTATTTTATATTTATAATTAATCTCCTATTGATTACAAAAATTTACTCAACGAACTTTCAAAAATAAACTAGCTAAATTATTGAAATAAACTCGGAATCCTCTTAACTGGATTTTTTCAATTCATTTAATAACAGAAAGTCTATAAACTTACAAACAAAAAAATAACTTTAAAATTGTAATCAAAGGTATATATTTAAAATAGTTCTTGAGGAGTCACAATATAAATAAATCTTAGTCTTTAGGCCTCGTTTGAGAACAGATTTTTTTACTAATTTTTGGACTTTTTTATTAAAATGTGATGTAAAAAAATTAGTATATTTGGGATGACTTTTTAACTTTTTACGAAAAGATATATAAAAAGTAAAGAGAAAATATAATCTTTAATCTTTGGGTATGAGTTGTTAGCTTTTTAATTTTTTTAATAATTTTTCGATTTTTGACTAAACTGATCGCTTCTCAAATGAGACCTTAATTACAAATTATTCTGGACACTTTTCTAATTTATTTATCTGAATTCCTAAAACTTATGGTTTAGTAATGGACGACAGGAAACCTTGTGCTTGATTATTTTAATAGAGATATACATAAGCACAAATACTCATAATAGAATGGAAGACCTATAATAAAACAACAATGATTCATCCCACTAAAAACATCACCACTAATAGCACTAATGCATTAAAAAAGTAAAAAAAAAAAAAAAACACAACTCCAAGGTCAAAACATCACATCATTAATGACGAGACCCACTGCCACCTAATTAGTGGGAGCACTAATTAGTGCTCCCAAGCATTTTTCATAATAAAATATGGAGAGCAGAGCACGAGGCGTAAAGAACAAAGTTGAGTTAGGGAGGATGTGCATCTTTCGATTGTGAGAATAGTCAGTGAGTGAGTGAGTCACCTAATGCAGTTTTGGACGCATTCCAACAGTACTATTTTTGGACGCATTCCAAATACATACTTTTTATTCTTCAATTCAATCCTCCTTCCCCATGATTTTTGTGCGTAGAAAATGAGGCTCTGCACACTCGGCTCCACAACACTGACAGACTAGTGAGTGGAGTACCTTATCTTTTTATAATTTAAAGGAAAATATTTGATGATTACAATTTTTAGAGTTACAATGACTTAAAATTATCAAAACGAAAATATTTGAGGGTCACAATTTTTATGGCCACAAAAATTGTGACCCTCTAGCATTGTTGTAATTTAAAAGAGTAAATTATACAAATTATTCTTATAATTTACCACATATGTTAATTTAGTCTCTCTTATTTTAATTTGTTTGATTTTATTCTTTAATTTAACAAATTATATCATTTTAATTTAATAAATAACAATTATTAAATTTAATGGACGGAAAATCTACATAATGTGTCAATTTGATCCGAACCAAATTGGCACATCGTGTATACTATAAGGACCAAATTGATACATAGTTTGATTTTCTGTTCACCAAACTTAACAATCGTTATTTATTAGACCAAAATAACACAATCTGTTAAATTAAGAACAAAATCGAACAAATTGAAATAATAAGAATCAAATTAACACATCATGTAAATTACATGAACTATTTGTATAATTTACCCAATTTAAAAATAGACAAAAATTTCATTGTGATTTTGGACTAAATTACCACACCACCTTTATCAACATAATTTTTTATAACAAAAAAAATAGCACTAATTCAATTAAATTACATATTAACTACTCATAAAAAATAAATTACTAATTAACTTTAAATCTCTAATTATATTAATTTAGAAAGTTTGGTAAGTTTCAAACTTTCTAAATTAATTTTTATTTTATTATATTTTACACAAACGGCATATGGGAGATTTATTAGAAAATTCTTTTTTTAAATGTTTATATCCCAATTAGTCTATAAAATATTCTTGTATTCTAATAAGTCTTATTATTTGAATATTTAATTTACCAAATCTTAATTCTCATATTTAAAGTATTTTATGGACATTTCTTCTCCTACAAATATTTTTTGAACGGTTAGCAATTTGGTGATGTGAACATTCATATTTTACAACGTGAATATTCATATTGGCGTATGAATGTTCACATTGATAGTGTGAACATTCAAATTGATGATGTGAACATTTACATCACAAAACATTTATATTGTAAATATAAATATTATTAGGAGTCTTTTTGTAACTATGGACTTATTAGAACATAAAAAAATAATTTAGACTAAATAGAACATAAGTAGATCAAAAGGGATATATGAAAAAATGCCGCAAGATATATACATATATAGAGAGAGAGAGAGAGAGAGGGAGAGAGAGAGATGTTGTATATGCAGTGCGAAGAAAATGAAATCAATGAACGATTCTACTGGCCCAACCAAACATCACCAATAAATTTAGAAAGAAGACAAATTTTTGGGATCGTATTTCAGTTCTATAAGCATACGACAACAAATCGCAGGGGAAAGGGAGGGCGGCAATAATGGTTGAGTAGGGAAGAGACGGCAGAATGGTCTGTAACGATGGTTAGGTTGCGGAAAGACAGTTGCGGTAGCAATGGTTTAGGAGGGGAGAAGGGACAGCGGCAATGATTGGGCTGAGGAGATT